TGACTTCCATAGAGTCCTCTGTTCTCCTATTCTTTCCAATACCTCTTCATTTCTAACCTTTTCTACCCACGATATCCTCATCATCCGCCTATAACACCACATTTCGAACGCTTCAAACGTTTTCTTTTCCGCCGCTCCCACTGTCCATGTTTCGCACCCGTACAACGCCGTGCTCCAAACATACACCTTTAACAACCTTTCTCGAATTTTCCAAACGAATGCATTTTCTTTTTCAGGGTGTAACTGTAATAACCATGCAACGAGTTGCCACTTTGATCCTGCGGTTTATGAACAAACTGGTAGAATAAGTGGAGGAGTTTGTGACGGTTGTCGTCACAACACGATGGGCCCCAACTGCGAACAGTGCAAACCATTCTACTACAGGGACCCCTTAAGAGACATCCAAGACCCAGAAGTGTGCAGACGTAAGAATTAATTTGGATACTCTTTTTCTCTCTTTGTTACGTTTAAATACTGGTTATTCCAGCTTGCGATTGTGATCCTGTGGGGTCGACGGATGCGGGTGCGTGTGACTCCACCACGGACCCTATAAACGGACTAGAAGCTGGTAAATGTCATTGTAAAACGAACGTCGAAGGTCGACGTTGCGACTACTGTAAAAACGGATTTTGGAACTTTACATCCGACAATCCCGATGGTTGTCAACCGTGCACGTGCGACATTTTGGGAACAATAGGTAATCAAGGATGTAACGCGTATTCAGGAGAGTGTACTTGCAAAAGATATGTAAAGGGAAGAAACTGTGACCAGTGTTTGCCAGAATATTGGGGACTTTCTGATAAACGGGACGGTTGCCAGGCGTGCGATTGCGATCCTGGTGGTTCGTACGATAACAACTGCGATGTTATAACTGGTCAGTGTAAATGTAGGGAACACATGACGGGACGTCAGTGCGACATTGCACAACAGCAACACTTCACAGCTTCTCTGGACTTCCTGCTATACGAAGCCGAATTAGCCCAAGGATCTGCTGTTAGTACTATCGTGTTCAAATTGTCTAATTAATTAATTTTTACCATATTTCAGACATGCCAGGTGGTTATTCGTGAACCATACAGAGACGGCAGACCTCCGTCATGGACTGGTACAGGATTTATGAAAGCGCCTGAAGGATCTTATATAGAATTCCAAATAACCAACATTAAAACGTCCATGGATTACGATATCGCAATAAGGTATGAGCCAACCCTTCCCGAAAATTGGAACGATGTGACCCTTACGGTAATACGACCGGATCCGATAGATCCCCAAGGTCCTTGTGCGTCTACACATCCTTCAGATGACACTAAAAGGGTTTCTTTGCCTTCTAATTCACGCAGCGCAATTGCGTTCCCACCAACGTGTTTGGAAGCCGGGAAGTCGTACATAGTTCGAATTGATTTCAACAATTACAAATACGGCACCTCAACACCTTCGGCGTCAATTCTCGTTGATTCTATTGTTCTTGTACCTCGAATTGAAAAAATCCCCTGGTTCCAAGGATCAGTGCCAGCTGAAGCACGTAGGCGAGAATATGAAGAACATCGTTGTGACATCGCTTTAGAAAACCCCAACATACCCCTTTCGGAGGTGTGCAAACAGCATCATAAGAGTATTGGAGCGTACATCTTCAATGGAGCATTTTCTTGTCAATGTGACCCAACTGGATCTACCAGCAAATTGTGTAACGATCATGGAGGAGCTTGTAGCTGCAAACTGAACGTTGTGGGAAGACGTTGTGATCGTTGCGCGCCAGGAACTTACGGTTTTGGTCCCGAAGGATGTAAAGCTTGTGACTGTAACAGTATTGGTGCTCTAAATAACTTTTGCAATGTCACAACCGGTCAATGTAAATGTAGATCGAATACTTATGGGCGCGAGTGTGATCAATGCCGTACAGGATTCTGGAATTTCCCTAATTGCGAACGATGCGACTGCAATGGGCATGCAGATATATGCGATTCTAGGACCGGAGTTTGTATAGACTGTAAAGACCATACCGAAGGACATCATTGCGATTATTGTAAAGAAGGATTTTATGGCGATCCGAGGATCGGATTCGACATTCCTTGCAGACCCTGTCCTTGCCCTGGGTTTAAAGAGGCATTCCACTCCTTTGCTGACAGGTGTATATTAGATTCACAGACCAAAGATGTGGTTTGTGAATGCAAGGAAGGTTACGCAGGTCAGTATGCAGTTACAAAAAAAAACAAAAAATAGTCTAAATTGCTTTCCTTCTTGTTCCAAGGATCAAAGTGTGACGTCTGCGCCGATAATTATTACGGAAATCCTGAGATTCCGGGCGGTTCGTGTCAACTTTGCGACTGTAGCAATAAAATTGATCCTCTAGTCCCTGGTAATTGCGATCCTCATACAGGAAAATGTCTTAGATGCCTTTATGATACTACCGGTGATCACTGCGAGATTTGTCGAGATGGATTCTTCAGGCTTTCAATCGACGATAACTGCCAACGTAATGAGTGTTACACATTTCTTTTATCAAAAACGAAAGTTATAATTCATTTTTAGCCTGCACATGTCAATTTTTGGGTACCAATGAAACTGCTGGTCCTTGTGATCGGGAAACTGGTCAATGTAAATGTCTACCAAATGTTATCGGCAAGGATTGCGATAAATGCGAAAAGAACCACTGGAAGATTGCTAGTGGTAAAGGCTGTGAACCTTGCGACTGCGATCCTTTGGGTTCCATGAATCCTCAGTGTAATGAAGTATGCATCTTTTTATTGGTGTATGGACACAATTTATTAACTTAATATTTTAGTATGAAGGTCAATGTTTGTGTAAGGAGAACTTTGGAGGAAGACAGTGTAATGAGTGCAGAGAAAACTATTGGGGAAATCCTAGAGAAGACAAATGTATCGGTAATAACTGCGCCTTGACTAAAATTCGGTAGTACCATTTTTATATCGTCGTACTTTTTTTTCAGAATGTCTTTGTAATCCAGAGGGATCAAAAACGCCTCAATGTGACAGAAAAACTGGTAACTGTGTTTGTCGTGAAGGAATTGGAGGACGATCTTGTGACGAATGCGCTAGGGGATATTTGGGTACCGCACCCTATTGTTCGCCTTGCGGCGAATGTTTCGACAACTGGGACCGTATTTTGAAGGAACACGAAAGTAATGTCATTCCTTCTAGACTTTTTCTCCATACTTCATACTTTTTCTACGATTTTAGATAAAACATTGCATATTATTGAAAGGGGAAAGAACATTAAAAAAATTGGGGCAACTGGAGCGTATACCAAAGAATTTGACGAAATGCAAAATCAACTGGACGAAATTGAACAACTTCTTAACAGTACCACAAACATAGACATCGATCAGATAGAAGACAAAATTAACAATCTAGCAAATCAAATTCAAGACGCGAAAGGGGAAAGTCCCGATGAACTCCTGAACAATGTCACAAAAGACATTAAGCTTTCTGAAATAAAATTGAATGAATTAAGGAAAGACATGGAAAAATTAGTTGCTCAAACCCAAGAATTAAGGAATAATGGTACCACACTTCAAGAAGCAGATGTCCAAGGGGCTTTAAATTTAGTTCGTATGGCTAAAGATAAAGCCGCAACAGCAGCACACAAGGCTGAACACACACAGGTACTATTTGAAAATCTCCTGAACATTATCTTGTTATTTAAATGTATACAATCTGAAATTTACAGTCGATAGTGGATTATGCGGAAAGACAATGTAAAGCAGCAGAGAACTTGGTAAATGTAACAGAAGCAGAATTCAAAAGAATGCAACAGGAAAACGAACAAGCACTTGATAGAATTAAAGAAAATATAACAAATTTAAATAATATGATACCGGAATTAAATAAACTTGTATGTGATGGTACCAGCAACAGTCCTGATGATTCGTGCGACTCCATATGTGGGGGTGCTGGATGTGGCAGTTGTGGCGAAAGTGTTTCTTGTCAGGATGGCGCAAAACAACAAGCTTTGTTCGCTCTCAGCTATGCAAATGACACAGAAAAGACGTTAAAGGAAAAGGAAGAAGCAGCCGAAAAGTTTTTCCGAAATGTGCGTCTATCACAATTAAATTTTTACAGACCAATTAATAAAATAGATTTTGTAGATAAGCCAATTGAACACCACGCAAGCTAAGAATTCGGCCCAAGAGACTCTCGATAAAGCAAATAAATTATATTCCAATTTCAATAATTCACTACAAGCTGTAAATAATATAAAGAAACAGATTGACGATTTTATTAATCAAAACAATTCTACTCCTGACGAGATAAGACAACTAGCCGAAAAGGTAAGTAATAAAGTTTAGAAAGAGTATATATTCGCAGACACACATTTAACATTTCATTCATTAGGTCCTTAAAAAAGACATCAATTTAACAAAAGAAGAAATTCAAACTCTTCAAAAGAAAATTCAGGAAGCTCTTGAAACATTAACGAATCCAGATAAGATTATATTAGAAACAAGGGATGACTTACAAAGAGTTCACAAATTAAAGGAAGATGCCGATAACGCAAAGTAAATCAACTTATTAATTACCGTGAGTTATACAGATTAAATTAAACATTTCTCATTTTAGAGCTAAGTCAAGCGACATTTTAAAAACTGCAGAAGGAATTAAAGAAGCTTTGCTGAACAGTAGCGTTGCGCAAAATGATGCAGATGAAGCAATAACAGACGCAAATAAAAATATTGACACAGTTCACGAACTATTAACAAAGGTATTTTAATTTAAGTTACTTTAGTTAAGTATTTTATTTTCTCTTTTGCTTCACAGATTGGTGCTATCGCCGAAGAAGCTCACAATAAGACACAAGAAACCAGTGGCAATATAAAAGATCTTTCGCGAAACCTTACAGATCTTCAAAATAACATGAGAAATAACGAAAGATTCGCCCAACGTGTTATCGAGGAGGCTGCCAAAGTACATCAAGAGGCGAATCACACAAACAAAACGGCTAATGAGCTTCTTAATAGGTATGATAATATTAAATACATGTTATCAAACACTTCTAGGGTTATTGAAGATTCAAAAGTGAAGGCTAATGAGCTGTCTGAGAGAGCCTACAATATAACACATAAAATTGAATCGACAGAGTCTGAAATTAAACAGCTAATTAGTAGCTCGTCTGATCAGTTATTAAAGAATCTAGAAAACGAGATCGATCAACTTATTAATCGAATGCATGCCTATAGTGCCGTAATTGAAGAAAGGCACAATCATTACAAGTCGTGCACTTAGTATGTGTAGTATTTAGGTAGTTTTATACGTTAATTTGTATTGACGATGTCTCTGTGCCATTTAATTAAGTTTTTTATAATGTGGATATTCAACTAATTTTTTATAGTTTACGAAATATACGGTTTTTTAGATTTTATTTTAGGTCTCTCGCTATAAAAGCAAATAATAGGCTGATAGTATTTCATTCACGCTTTAATATATAGAATTTTAATTAATAAATACAAAAATTACTTTCATAATTACATTAATTTGAACATTTTATAAAAGGTATGCATAATTTTAAATATCCCAGCTAAACAAGTGATGTTTAACAAGCATATCTCGCACGCCTTCTTTTAAAGGATGATTATTGACTTCCTTTTTGACTGGTAATTCCCACTCGGGGTTTAAATTGAACGACAACTGGGATAATATTCGCAATTCGCATTTAATTTGAACCCAACCAGGACTAAATACAAATGACCAAGGATGATACCTGTATTGTGATAAAACATGTTTCTTTTATATTCTCCATTAAAATTGGTGAAAATAATTCAAAAAATTTACCATTTTTGAACGACTTCTGTACAAGAACACAATACTTCCAACCATAAATGCAAAACCTGTTCATTAAGACCCATACACACCAAAGACCTTAGTTTGACATCCATCTGAGCATGGGCATTATCATGAGACAAATTTATAGATTGTATACATCGATAGAGAAGCTGCAAAGAAAAGATGTTTAATATTACTTGAAAAACGCAATAGTAATTAAGCAACACTTTTTCATACCTCTTCTGGGGTTAGGACTTTACCATCTTCGTCTAAACGATACGTTTTACAAAGAACTAGTCTACTATAAACAGAATTAAAATCTTTCTCCACTTCTTTTGTTGCCGCTTCTTCAATAAATAACCACGGATGACAAGGTCCTCCTAATAGGAATAATTAAATTTACGGTTCGAGAATTTTAAAAATATCAAGTTTACCCAGAAAATGTGGTCGCTTCATACCATGTTCCAAAACCTGTTTAACAACTGGGCACAAGGTACCACGAACAAGGTCTGTAACGGTCTCAGAAATACTATCGTCACCAGCACTTGAATATTGCTTGCTACGTTCATCTAACAGTTCTACAAACTTTGCTGGGAACCATCCTAACAGAAAATAAAATTTAAATAGTTATATTAATACAATTGGCAATAATTTATGCACCTCGTAAACCATTTAATTCGCCAACCCAACAGTGCTCGTCTTTTTGACTTAATATTGTAATAATGTCGTTCTTTCGAAACCCTAGTTCATCATCGTCGTGTCTTTCAAAATCTAAAATTATGATACAGCTATTAATTGTGTACCCTTTTAAAATTTTGAAACATTATAAACCTAATAGTGCCTTAGCCCTTCGTTTCCTATTTTTTGAAATGTTAATATAGTTAGCGTGATCTAGTGCATGGCTCTCCATAGAATAATTGGCCAGCAAGGATATTTCTGAAGATAGTTTTGGTTCGATTTGAATAAAGTGTCGAGCGATCTTAAAAATAATAATACGAAATAAGCCCATTTTAAATAAAATAAATTAATTTAATAATTTTACTTACTTAGTCAACACAAAAATAATATATTATATACCTGCAATATTGCTTCACGTAAATCTACCAATATTTCAGTTTGTTTGACGTTTTTCGACTTTATATCATCTTCGCTGTTTTCATTGAACAAAATCAGACCAAGAACAGTTTTATTTTTCTTTAACTGCCTTCTATAAATAAGTTTCCCGTAAAAAAATAGTTAACTTTATAATAACCAATTTACCTAGCCAAGTGTTGCTTTGGAAGATTTGATATTGCCTCTGGATTACCAACCAGCACCCCCTGGTCTGCCATTAGGTATGCCAAGTGTCTTCGTCTATACGTTTCGATCATTACTTCGTTTAATGAACTAGCCAATTCAAACGAAACCTTTGAATATTACGATATATTATATTAATGCATTTGAAAGTATTGTGTTTAAAATTACTTGTAATAGTTTTTCTACATCATCAATGTCCCCTGGAATGTCTGATAACGCGTTAAATATTTGTGCGGAGTTCTCTAGAGTTCGTAAATGGGGCTCTTTGATTTTTAACATTCCCAAAGTCACTTGAAATAAGACCAATGAACCTTCTAAGAAGAGTAAATCCCATATACGTAGTAAAATTTTCATATGAACAACACTTGCAAACAAAGTTAGAAACCAATGCATAGTTATCAAAGACAATTCAATGTCGTGATTCTTTAAAACTTCGTCAACGTCAGGTAAAAAGCTTGCTATTAACGTTCGCAATACTTTTTGATCAGCTTGTACCCCTGAAAAGAAAGATTTACTCACTGTATTTGACAAAGTTGAATCAACTCACCAATTAAAGTGGAGCTATAATATGAGGCTGGTAAGAAATCTTCTACAATTGTTACCATGACCCAGAAGGCATCTTCTTCTTCTAGAAGTAGTAATAAAGACGCTACTATCATCCCTACTCCTTGGCAATAACTACAAAGAACAACCAATGCTTATATTATCAAAGCCTAGCAATTAATTTACCCAATGTCAGGATACAGCCATGCAAGGCCCCTTAATATTCTACGTAAACGCGAAATTCCAGTACTGTTGATGTGACTGAAACATGCATTTGTTGGAAGAGTATGCAAAAGGTCTTTCTCAATCTGTTTTGATGTCATTAAGGAATCATTACTTGACAATTTAACTATTTCTTTATAGGACAATTCAGAATTTTCTTTTTTCTCCAAAGCACCTGAAAATAATTAAGCTGTAGCAAGTTTTTCAATTATATAGTATTATATGTAGTAAGTAGCATACCTGACAGTCTCATCCACAGTTGTGGCCTTAAAGAATGTGGTATACCAGCCCTAATCATGGTCCTTAACTTTTCTGTTCTTGGCAGCTGTACTTGAACTTTATCCCAACTTAAATTTGATACTTCTTTATTGTGAGAAAACTCCAAATGTGCTATCCATTGCAATCTAAATAAATATTTCAATAAGGAAAGTCCTTTTCTTCAATAAGAAGTATTACCTTTGCTGAGGATCTTCTACAAAGGGAATACCCAATAGCTTATTTGAATTTTGTTCAGGTCCATCCTCTTCATCTACTCGAAAACCAAATTCATCAAATCTATTTTATAAAACAAATATATTTATCAAAAAGTATATTAATAACTAAAGTATTATCTACACCTGTACTCTGGCTGAGAGTTTGGGTCATCAGGAATAACTGTTAGCTTGGCCATAATGTCTTGGGGCCACATACTTGGTGTAAGTGCTGAGAATGGGCCCCCAGGGGCTGGAATCAGATTATTTTCAATTTTTAAGCGATCTAACATTGTCTCTGACAAAACTTCTTCGTCATCTGATACTGTTAACTCAAATTCTCGCCTCTGCAAGGGTCTGCTTTAAAATGTATGATTATATACAGTATATATATAGTTACATTATTGTCTTCTCTTCCAACATATCCTTCATGGTTCCGAACGTCAAAAAATGATTTTGCAAGATCCATTTTAATTAATAATAAACAAAAATACTATTCTAAAAAGGTAGTTAGTTAAAAAGTTAACTTCAGTGTTGCTTCCACACTATCATATTCCTATTGCAAAATGCTCTTTGGCTTGAAAATTACCATCACTACATTAACATTAACAAGTCACATAAATTATTTTTATAAATTAACCACGATAGTATTAACAGTTCCTGTTTTAATTAATAAATTAAAATGTAAACATCTGTTGTATTTGTAGCTGTCACAACTGTCACATTGTCCATTCACAATTTCATTGTACGTGACGTCATTGATACGTCAAAGTATGGTTTAAAGATACCGTTAATTTTAGCATGACTTTAGCTCTGGTTATACAATACAATTAACAAAAATATTTAAGGAAGACAGTGTGGGTTTTAATTACCTATTGTTTTAATTTATTTTATCTTTTATCTAATCATAAAGCCAAAACGCTAAGTGCCGCTGATAATGCCCGTCAGTATGTGAATCATTCATCTTTATTTTTTATGAATAATTGATTTCATACGAATAAAAGTTTGTCTACAACTGTTTAATCTGTATTTTACTGCCTAATTATTAGAAAATGATAATGAATTTTTAAAGTAAATAGTATATTAATTGTTCATTTTGCGTGAAATTGTTTTTAGCAAGGGTTCGCGCATGCGTAATTTAAATATTTGTTGTTACGAAAGTACACGAGCGAATAAAGCGAAAAGGTGCGAACGTAAATAACTGCAAATATGATGGCTGCGTGTGTTGTGCCAATTATTAAAATTTAAAAGTAGTTACATTATGTGTTATTTTTCTAAAGTGATTGAAAATTATAAGTGTATAATAAATCACATAGTGTCGAATAAATATTTAGTTGTTGGGAAATAATCTATCTAAAGTGTTATATGGATATACCTGTAATTTCACCTGCCACAGTAAGTTACTACCTTCCTAGTACTTTTCTTAAATTCCAGATTTTAGCATATTTATTAGTCAGTAATGCTTGCTATGTGCAATATAGCATTGGTTTCAGCTAAATTTAAATGACAATCGTAATTGTAACTTGCAAATATTTATCAGTGAATCTATTGATGGAATGTACATTAGGTTTCCTAAAGGAAAATGTGAAGGCTTTTGAAAGTATTACACACTACCTAATTGATATTCCATTAATTAGGTACTTACTCATTTGCGAAACAGTTAACCTACATCGTTTCTTATTGTTTCCGTCATTATTAATTAAAGTTATTTTAAAAACCTACAACAGCATGTTACAGAAAATTACTAATTTTACTTAAAACCTTTAATATGGCAGTTTGTTTTTCCCTTTTTTCTATTAAAAGATTAATGAGTAATAGTTGTTTATATTTGTCAGATCTGAATCATTTCTTTACAAAAGATGCTAAATTAAAAATATGAGAACTTGCAGGTATCTAATATATTTAAATAAGATAATTACTGATACCAAAAGTTATTACATTATATTGTTAATTTTTATGAAATTATATAACGTTTTTGTTTCCTTTTTTTATCACCGAAATTTACTAATCTAATACCTGATTAATTAAATTTTAGTTTTATTATATTAGTAATAGGTATATTATATGTATTAATCAAAAATTACAAAAAAAGAAAGTAAACATTTCAGTTTGTATTTTTAAAAACTTGTAATTAAACAAAGATAGATCGTTTACATCATTATAATTTAGAAAGTCTGTGGTAATAGCAGGAAATTAATTAATTATCTTTTAGTTTCAGTAATCTATGCATAATTTAAAATATGGATTGTTGGTATCAAGAAAATGAAAAGGAAAACTCTAACAAACGCGTATGAATAGTATATTTAGTTTGTAAACAAAATTAGTAATTTATTGCTTTTTTTTATTCCGTACTGTAGAATTCAAACACACAATACCTACCAAGCAAATGTAGAACTACCCGACCACCACCTCCAACACCAGCAACCAACCCCTTACAGTTTGTAAAAGTTGCTCCTCCACCATTGATTCAGAAGGCTCAAGAACAGGTTAAAAAGGTTGAACTAGTTAAATCAGTTAGAAAAGACTTTAAGGAAGATGAAGAAGACTGGCAGCAAGTATGTCTTATGTTTTAATTAATGTCAAAGTAAATCTCAATTATTTTTATATTTCCTAGAATTTAGATAACTGGAAGAGTAGCAGAAGAAAACGCCAAGAACATATCATTGAAAGGGTTGTAGAAGTGAAAAAGATCACACAGGAAGAACAAGATAAAGGAAGAAAGAAGAGTAAGACCTTTAACGAAATATTGGAAGAAAGGTAACTTATACAGCCTTGTCCTTGATATGTTTATCATCTATAATTATTATTTCTAATTTTTTTATTTCTTCCCCTGTGAACTCGTTAACAATTCTTTTCATCCTTATCATCCCTGTATTTCTGATGTACTATTGTTGGAAAGCTGCTGTTCTGCTGCTCCAACATTCCTTGATATTAATAGATAACTTTTATTGAATTAAAATTGATACTTTTCATGTGTATGCGTTTGTAGAAGTAAAAGGGGTTATCGTTTAAAATTGCCGATATACGAAGATGAAGACTCAGATTTCACTAGTTATGTAGGAAGTAGTAAAAGTCAAACTGATGTTTCAAAAGAAGTTAAAAAAGAAGAACATGAAAAAGTTGAATTATCAGTGAGTAGTAGAATTTTTTTTTAAAGATAAGTGACAGAAAATGCTGGGGTTGTTTCTTCACTCACTTTCACTCTACAATATTGCTTCAAGAGAAAATAAATACTTATAGTGAAGCAATACCAGTGTTTTTTTTTTAATGCTTCACTATTATTTCAAAGTTATTTTTTTTATTAAATACTCCATGTCAATCTTCTGTCTTTTAGGACAAAAGTATTCAAAATAATAATGAAGATAACGAAGAGTCACAAAGAAAAGAAGACAGTCAATTAGAAAAAGAAAAAAATGTTCGAAAAAATTATTTTCAGTGTAATTTCGATAACGAGAAAACTATCAAAGATGAAATTAGCAGCCAAATAAGTTTGTCCAATGAAAAACCAAAAACCATTTCGTCTGAATCATTTATAGATTCAAAATTTATTAATAACAATGACAACAAATTCGGTAAAAGCAACCAAGAAGTAATCAGTTCAAGTTTAGATAATATGCAACAGTATACGTACGAAAGCGCTATTGAAGGTTATCGAAGTCGAATCAAATCTAAAATTAAAATAGACGAGTCCATATTTAACAAGCCCTCTGAATATAAACCGATAGCTAAAGTTGACGTCCCAATTCCTAAAGGAGTTCTATTTAAACGTAAAGAAATATTTGAAGTCGAAAAACCAATAGCAATCGGACATTTAGAATCGCTAACATCCAAAAGATTGTCCGAAGATTTTGCAAACTCACAAAGTATCAAAGAGAGGCTGAAAAGTTTAGAAAAATGTACAGAACAATCGTTAACAAGAAACATTGAAAGAGACCCCACAGGGATTAAATGGAATAACCCTTCGAATGACGAAAATGATAATAAGACGATCAAAACAGAGACAATAACTCAATCAGTTGAAGAAGAAAATCTAAAGTCAAGAACTAAACAAAACGATAAGTCAAACGTTAGACACGAGGAACGTACTACTCGAGTTGAAAGAAGTTTTAGCCCAGAAACAGAACTTTATATGAACAAACTAAATGTATTCAGCAAAGATCTTGATGACTTACTAGAAAAGACTGGTAATAGAATTGCACCCAATGACATAAGCAATGGTTTTTATGAAAGTCCGAATCCTTCTCTTCTTGGAGACGGAATAGGCACAGCATCTTCAGATAGGGAAGATAGTGGAATACACACCGCAGATGTTTCTTGTTCTGTAAGTCAGGCAGACGAATCCACTTATGAAGTTGAAGACAGTGATTTTTTATCACCAACAGCACTGAATCGTTCACAGAAATTTGACGTTGAAACAGAGATACACGAGTTAAATAACGAAAATGAACAAAAGAATGAAAATATTGAACCAAATGAAATAAAAAACGATATAGCTACTGCTCATAGCGAAATTAAGAGAACAAACAACAAAGAGCTAACAGCGAAGACAAAATATTTTCTAGAACAACTTCAAAAAGAAGCCGCAATCGATTTAGAACTGGAACGGAAATGGAAACTGACTACAAATGTCATGACGCGCTCTCCAACCTCAGAAACAACCACCGATTTGAAAAAGGTCGAGCCAATCATTAGTAATAGATCTGAAAAAGATACACATGCAAACGCCAATACGAACACTCCCCTAATATTGGATTATATCGACGAATTAGAGTTATCTAATTCTCCACTAGCACCACCAAAGGCTGTTGAACCACCGAAAGAAAAACCACCACCTCCACCACCACTAGACCAGGAAGACTATCAAGAGAAAGCAAAAGCATTCAACTCCACCAAAAGAATCAAAAAAGAAATTTACGTGAAACGTTCAAGTTTTTTGGGTCTGGATGAACCAACAGACGATCAAATTGATCCTGATATTAGCATTGAAAGACCGCCAGATATAAATAGATTTCTTCAGGAAGAATCTCAAATGGAGAAATGCTTGTACAGAAAGTTACACGGAAGTAGGGAGATGATTAGCGAAGTAGAAAGCCAGGATTCAGGATTAGAAAGTGAGCGCGGAAGGCTCTCTAGCGACACGTGGTGTAGCAACGGGACATCCGCACATTTTAGGCAAGACAGTGAGGTAAGATAATTACTTTTAGAAATAGAAAAAGTCACGTAATCAATTGTACTTAAAGCAGATCTAATTGTGATCAATAATTGACATAAAAACTTTTGCGTATTTCTTACATGGATAATTAACATGTACTTACTGTTACCGCACGCGAAAAGCTTTTTAGTTTTGATGTTAAAAATAGCAAAAATTCTTTTTGCAGCAGACCAATAGTGTAACATCTGAAGAAGATGAAGTAACCAGAAAAGAACGAGAGATAATCGAATTAGTAGAGAAAGAAGAAAAGTCAAAAACAGCCATCACAAACTTAGAAAAAGGCGACTTAGAATCGATCCATTACAGACGCAGGCGCAACTTTCCTTTGTGTAACGAGTATTATCCTGTTGATGCGGGCAGCTCGACAACTTACTGTAATTCAACATTAAGTGATACTGATTTAGAGGTATTGTTATTATTTTATGCCTCTTTTAAATTCAATAATATTAATAATAATAATAATAATAGGTGATGCGAGTAGAACAAGAATTAAATCGGTTAGAACGAAAACATGTGGAAAGTCAAAATTATATGTTAGCCCAGTGTGGCTCGCCATCAAGAAGCCAGTGCCGAAACTCACTGGAAAACATATGTGACACAGACGCTTGCTCCCCATATGCAACAGCAGAAAACTATCGAAAATCTTTACCAGACCTGTACCACGACGTAAGTTACTTATTTTTAATTACCACCGTCGTATCACAGTTTTATCATCAGCATTTTAACTAAGATTATTTTATTGTGTTATTAAGTTTTGTTATTCCCATTGTTATTGCTTATATTTTGTTTATGGTATCAGTATAAACCATCCTCTACCAATTGTTCTTATCGCAAATCAATGCCAGACATAAATCAAACACCATACCTAAGTTTTAAGAAACATGAAAGTATCCCTATGTATGCTTTGGAATATCGTAAATCTATGCCAGAGTTGGAAGGGATTTATCCACGACCGGCAATCACTTCCCATTTGAAAGAGGCGTATCCTTCCAACTGCGAGAATAAACAAGCTTAGTAAGAATCGACATATGTGACTTTTCTTTAATTTTACTGTGTTATTGTCATATGTATAATTATTTTTTGTTACAGTATAGAATGTGTAGAACCACCGAATATGGGTGGAAAAATGAAACTAAAGCAACCAGTTTCGAAACACGAGGCCCATGCTTTAAGTGCTGCTCCAAAACAAAAACATATTCCTAATGATATTTGGATTCAACCAAAAGTCAATACAGAAACAAAAAATTATAATCAACATTGGCTGCTTCAGGTGAACTACGCATTTATAATTTCTGTTTTACATATATGACAAAATTACATTTCGTTTTGATGTTATTTGACAAATTTTATTTTAGGAAGCGGAATTAAGAAGAATCGAAGAACATCAGAAGAACCGTGGTCATCAAGGACATCTAAAATGGCAGCTACCGGCTAGGCCAGAGCAACAGCATATTCCTGATCCAATAATAGAAACTCTTACTCATAGACTTCAAAATAGAACTGGCGAAAATCGTCGCCAATTTTTGCGAAGGTGAATAACTTTTATTTTTATTACTAATTAATTAATTAAGTTCTGATTGTTGGAATTGGGTACATTTTAAGAAGTTAATATTATTTTTATTTTTTGTCTTTTTTAATAGACTATTTTGTTCCGATTTTTAATATAAAATTTGTTAATGATTTTAATTCCTAAATTAAATCTGTTGATTGAATTATTTATTATGTCTCTTAGACTATAGTTTCATTTCAATTTCATTGATCAATAAAAAAGTAAGTAAAGCTCATTTAACAAGCAACTTACATGCTTTTGAACTAAATTTATTCTTCTTTTGCTAAAAGCGACATACTGTAGATATTAAAGTGGTAAGTACTGGTGTCAGTATTCCATTAGTTTAAGGTAATTCTAAAAACTTTGTTTTTAGGCCTCAGCCTACACTTGGAAATAAAGACTGTAATCGTTTTGTATATTTAACACATGATCATAATCTTAATCATGGCGTTTCTAAATCGTATTCATCACCTCTTCATTTACAAGAATCTCAAAATCAGTTGTTAAGCGTTAGCGGAAAAAAGAAATGTTCTTATTGTGGAATTGAATTGGGTATGTAAAATTAAAATCAAATATTGTACACCCTGTATATCTATTTTAGTCGTCGAGGTTGTTGCCGAGTAAATATGGTGAATTTTAAATCGTGCTGTAACAAATAATTACATAGTTACAATAAATTAAATTGACCGTATTTACTTCAGCAGTGTCTTATAAGTTTCCCTTTAAAGGGTCAGAAATGATTAGTTAAATGGAGTCATATTTTAGGGCGAGGGGCAGCTATGATAATAGAAAGTCTCGCTCTATTTTATCACATGGAATGTTTTAAATGTTGCGTGTGTCATGTTCAGTTGGGCGACGGTTTGATGGGGACAGATGTAAGAGTTAGAAACCAAAAATTGCACTGCCATAACTGTTACTCCAGCGATGACGGTGTTAAATTTAGTTGCGTTTAAAAACGCATATGAAAATTAAATTATATCTGTTAAAATTTTCCCGAAAGTTGCTGTACAAAAGATAAAAAAATACAGTTTGTAATATAATATATATTCAATCACCATTATTATGTAAATTTCACCTTATGTATGTATGTGTATTAATGTAATTATAATAGCTTATTATACAAGGCGGTCCACGATCATTCTTGTACAATTATGGCTTTGATATTGATGATAGTCATAAAATCATTTTCAAATATACAAATATACCCCTTATTATCTCGTGAAAATGCCCGTTAAGGTATTTTTTGCGGGAGAACGACATATTTTTGTTTTAAATATATGTTTAGTTCCATTTATTATGATCTAAGTTAAAAAATACTCGTTATGGTAATTTGGTTTTATGTGTTGCATTATTTAGTTATTACTCGCTGTATGTTTGAAAATAATTTTAAACAATTCTGGATTTCGTACAATTTTTTAAAAGCCATATTTCTCATTCAAAATCGTGAATCAGCCTGTATATAAAAAAGATGTATAAGAAGTTATATGGTTGAGACACACTGTAGATAATTAATATGTAAAAAACAAGAGTAGATAAGTGTACAGTAATCTATGCATACTACACCAAAGTGTTATTACTCGCTGTATGTTTGAAAATAATTTTAAACAATTCTGGATTTCGTACAATTTTTTAAAAGCCATATTTCTCATTCAAAATCGTGAATCAGCCTGTATATAAAAAAGATGTATAAGAAGTTATATGGTTGAGACACACTGTAGATAATTAATATGTAAAAAACAAGAGTAGATAAGTGTACAGTAATCTATGCATACTACACCAAAGTGTTACGTTTGTNCATATATATATTATGTAGTTTAGAATTTACAATATGTTAATTCATATGTTGTATATAAATTGTGAAACAAACCAAAACCAATAACTGAAAAATATCAAACATAATTATTACTATTACGCCCAAAAATGGTAATACAAGAGTGTTTATGATTATTTAGCAATAACAATGTTTTTTTTTTACGAATAATAATAACAAATACAACTATTTAACTTGAGTATGGGCCATTCTGCAATCAGCATATGGGTTTTGTAAAATCCTTGGTGTAGTTTCCATCACTTTTAATAATAATTCATCGAGGTAGTCTTCAAGGTCTTTGTTTTTTCGTTTTTGATGTTCTAACTCGCTCTGTAGCTCGTTTATTATCAGTATAAGGTCCTAAAAATATTACAAAATATATCTAGCATCTAAATTAGTTTTTTTTTTGCATACTTCTCGATTTCTGCCATCGAACTTTTGTAGCAACTCCGCAGAAATTCGTGTGTTTGTTACTGTGGCTCTGGAATCATTTTCTCCACCAATAATAATTCGCTCGTCAGAACTGTGACTCAATTTTACATTTTTAACTTCATCTTTGTCTAAAAGTAAATTGTAAATAGAATAGTACACATTTATTATGTACTTCATTTACCTTTCATAATATTTTTAAATTTGGTCAGCATTGTTTCCTTTTCTTCTTTTTTAGGTACCTCTTCAGTGAATGCAGCAGTAGTTATTTTCTCATCTTCTTCTTCTATCCTTGGGGAGAACTTCGGAGAATCCCACAATTTATTAAATGACTCACTTGTAGTAAGTTTCGAATCTAAAATCGTTTTATTTCTCGTTTATCTATCATATAATGATATACCAAATTTAGTAATATAAGTAAAGAAATCAACAATTTTGACTAAAATACTACTCTTTCATAATGCCCCTTTAAAATTATACAATTTTGCTGTCGGTAATTTATAAAATGAGTTACTAAAACCCAAGACTTTCAAGTTATTACTTTTGTTTTGCTTAGTTAGGCCTAATTTCAGTTCCCATTCATCTTTTATTTGTTGTTCTGATTTTGTATTTCCATTTTTCTGTATGTTTTCATGACCAGGCAAATTTTCTAAAGAACCATTAGCTACTGAGCGATTGTGTAAATAATTAAGAGAACCACTTGAGCTTTTGTGAGATAATTCATCAAACTAAAAATATAAAAACTAAATAAAACCAAAGGAAAAACAAACAGAAGTTACTCAATTACAGCAAATTCATCTTCATCTTCACTAACAACTCCTGGATCAGCATCTTCTCGTGTTTGTTTACTCTTAAAGGGAACAGCATTTTGTTGCAAACTAACAACACTTCCCATTGAACTGGATTCATCATCTGCTGCCTTTTTCTTGCCCTTTAAATGCATTTTTGATCCTATAGATTTAGCGATTTTTTTAATACCCTTTCTTTTTTCCAAACTTCCAATACTTAGCAAACTTCCTCCAACTGACTGAGCCACTTGAGATAAGGGAAAAATGGAAGACTTATGTTTCTCTTTTTTACTTAAATCTGTTAGACTTCCAGCTTTTACAATAAAGGCTATTTTTACTTCCAACTGTCCTCTTGCTTTACCCTTACTTTCTTGTCCTTAAAATCAATATTATTTATTTAATATTCGTTTGTTTAATCACTATTATTATTTACCTGGTTTACTTTGTAACATGTACCATCTTCCTTTTGGCCTTTCATACACATCAAGTTCATTTAAAGGAACTGCAACTCTACCTAAAAATTCATCTACTCCAAGAAAATTTCGGTGTAAGACTGTTAAAACAATTTCTGCCCTATTGCCTTGGTCAGGTATTGGTCTACAACACAAAGGTCACTTCTAAATCTATTTAAATGTATCTTTAGTAACCACTTACAGTTCACATTCTTCATGCCACTCAACAACACTGAATGCCTTTTCTTTTATTGATGTTTGATACTTTGTTTTTCCTAAAGCTATTGTGACGAAACAGTCATTTGTATTATTTTTACCTTTGGTTAGTAATCCCGTAGCTCGGTGTACTGCAATTAATAAATTAGTGGAACTGTCTAAAAAGCAATGGAACTTGTTAAAAACAATTTCTATAACTACCTACAACCTGGACATGAGTTGGCATCCACATAATTAATGGAAATATCACGATTGACCCCACCTGCAAACACTTTTAGGTTACAGACAAGTAAATAGCAACTATATTATGTCTCCTTTAATACGCTGTTTCCGTGTCTATTGCAGAGTGTTTAGTTGGTGTGTGCTTCCTTCTATAATTAAATTAGAGACGACTGAAGCATAAATTCGTCACTTATATATGTATGTACGTTCCAGTATGTTTTCTAAGGTACATAGGTACAATGCATCTAACACATTTACACTTCAACATATATTTAATGGTTTACAGATACTATTGTTTGAATATCATCATAAAACACAGACTGTGTATTCACTATTCTATTTACATTTAAATATTGCCATTACGTTAAAAATTCAACCTGCGCTGTACTGTATGATTTTGTATGCAAGTAATAAATACATAACAATGAACAAAATACAGTGCATTAACCATCTGGTGTTGGGAAGCTGAACTGAAGGCTCGGAACATGTACTACTGGAGGTAGTTTGAAAATATAGCATAACTGTTGTTTCATTTGTATCCATTACCTACACTAGGTTTTTTGTTTCTGTCTGTATGTGTATGTGCCCCATTCATATGCAGAATGTGAGTGAAATGAAATTTTGTTCCTCCATATTTCTTTAACAGCAGAATACTTGCAGTAGTATATGGTCCAAGATCAATTTAGTTCAGCTTCTATCCGCTGGATGGCGACACCATAACTTTCTTAATATTAATTTTGTTTAAATATGTTAAATAGTGATAAATTAGTAAATTAGATAAGATATATACACATATAATCATATATGGGAATAGTGGTAATAAACCATGAATATATAAACGAGAAAGTATGTGACTACCCTAATTTATAGGTAATTTTCAAATTGAATTTAAAATAGGTATTCCTAAAGTGTGTTTTTGTACTCATAATGCTACATATTTAATATTAAAATGTTTCAAATGGAATGCACAAATCAAAAACGATAGGCACAGATGAATGTTTAAAATTTTTTTCGCCTTTTTTTAATTTATCAAATATTTCTTAAGGCGTGGGACATTTCATCTAAAGAACCTGGCAACGTCGGCGAACATGTAGGGTTTGGTATGCAATGTTTGTGTGTACGCTATGTATGTATTAGTATTACCCTGTACTGCGATTGCATTCCACATTGTTTATTAAGTTCTGTTTTTAATATTCGGTTTTTCGGACTTTTTAAAGTATTTTTATAGTTATTGAGGCATTAGTATTGTTCGTATTTTCGCCAAAGCGGGGGAGAACGGTTAATCTCAACTTTTTGTCCGCGTATGGAATGTTTGTAACTTTAGTTTGTGTCAAGTGTTCGGTTAATTGACGAAGAAACATGGCTTCCACGGACTTTGCGAGGTTAACTCGCGAAGAACGAGCTGAAATACAGGAACAATTCACCGTTGTAAGTCAATTTTTAATTACTAACATCTCCCTAGTTAAATTTAAAGATGCTAAATAGTTTATAACACAACCAGTATTAATTTCACTGATATTACATTTTGCTTATGCATTGTTAAACCTGTATAGAAATCAAAGAAATTTCCAGCATTTTTATCATTAAATAATGTATTTAATACATATAATCATACATTAGTCCATTGAAGATTTATATATTGTATTTTGGGCATTACAATTTTATATGTTTGCAGAGAAAAAGTATTTTCACAAATTTATTATTTTTCTTTCTTTGGCTGACTCATAATAGTGAAATTATGTAGCTCATTGTCATGACAAACACGTCTAATAATAATTAAAAGAGGCAGGGAGGTTCCCCCAATTTTTGCCAAAAAAAGAAATCGTGAGGTGTATAGGTCTTTGAAAAACTTTATTGTTATCACTTACATGTTTTTGTATGCATATTGTATGCAGAAGTTTTCCTGTTAGAATTGTAATATTTTATGAATGGATGATTCATACACCTATTGGTCATAGGTAATTTTACTTTTTACACGTTATTGTGATTGTAGTATCTGTATAGTATAAAAAATTATTAATATTAATTAAATATACCTACAAATAGAATGTTTGTTGAAAAATATCGGAATATATGATAAGTTACAGTTAATACCCTATAAAGTGCAACGAGAGCCAAAGAAACTGTGAAATAAGTGTTTCAGAACTAAGGTTAATGAAGGATTACCATTGTATAAATTAAAGTATAGACTGCGGAAGAAAAGAGAAAGTTAACGTGTTACGTAAAATTGTTGCTTTTACTTTCATTTCACTTTCAATCTTTAATGCGGGTGTGTGATCTTGAAGTATTTTAAATTTACTTTCTGAAGAATTTTTGAAAAATCTCTAACCAGAACCTTTTCCAGTTTACTGTTGCATTTCTGTAATAACAAAAGGTAATATTGTGTGTTTTTACTCATAGTTCTTTCTATTTTTAGTGTATAAATTCATAGATTAAGGTGCTGCTACTGTGGTTTAAATGAAACGAGGGGCTTTAAAGTTAACTTGCATTTAAATTAACTGAACAGCAAATAATAAATGGTTTTCAAATAATTACTCAAATCAGTCATGAATAAGAGAAGAACAAGACCAAGTCAATTGCTATATGTGCCTCCTGCTTGTCGTAATATAAAGTATGTTTATTTAATATTTTATTGAGTACAGTATGAAGTAAACTTTTTGTTTATAGGAAAATTGGTGAAAATGAAACATCTTCTAACTCCAGCTGTCCAAAAGAGTTATCAGATAAATTTAAAAGTGATATTATGAATGACTTTGACCATAGTAATGCAGAAAACAATTTATTAACTACTAAAAACAGTTTATCACAGCAAGTAAGTCTATATAGTTAATAATTTTATTAATACATAAAATGGTAACTGTATGTATTTATATTCCACTTACAGCAAGTAGATAAACTTTATGAAGACATAAAAACTATTAGCCTATCTAGGAACTCTGAATGTGAAGAAAAAGGTTAAAAAAGACAAAATAATGTAAATTTAATAATTTATGCTGTTTTTTTTGTAGTTGAAAAAAGTAATTCTGAACTAATAATGAGCAATGATAATAATGTAGATTTTATAAGAAGAGATAAAGAACTGTCTTTGAATTTAGAGGATAATTGTTCCTGCAGTAAAAATGACTATGATGTTGATAGAGAAAAGGAACAAATGGAACGTGCAATCGTAAAAATAAACAGAAAATCTCGATCTTTTATCGACTACAATGAGAATGATAATGTTCTTCTTATAAACAAGAAGCAAAATTCAGAAATTCCAATGCTAACACAACCAAATCAAAATTCGAAAGGTAATAAAAGTAAAGAACAGTTCATCAGTTGGGAAAATACTTTACAAAATAGTGAAGATGAAGATAAGAATGAAAAACGCAGTGTGAGTTGTATATATTTTAATATTGTATTTGTTGTTTGATTGTTACAAAAAAGTATTATTTTTTTGTTATTTTAGGATTCTAATTGCAGTAACAGTTCTTCCAAAAGTCCTCTAAATTATATTGATAAGAAAATGGAAGACTTGGATCATGTTGTAGAAGTGTATGATTTTCCAGAATCATTTAAAACTCAAGATATTATACAACTTTACAGTGATTTCCAAGCAAATCCAGTATACGTGAAGTGGTGTGATGATACACATGCACTACTTGTTTTTAGCACACCTGCACAAGGTACTTTTTACTTAAAACAAAATCTGAAGAGTTAATATTATGTTTCATGATAACATTTTAGACTAAACTAATAGGGTTTTCATAAATCATTTCAGCAAGAGTGGCTTTAAAGTACGATAAGGGAATTATAAAATCAAGACCCTTGACTGAAGCAAGCCCCTTATCAAAGAGAGTTGCTAATAAAATAGATTTAAAGCCTGCAATGCGAAGACCTGCCACCAGCATGCAAACTGCGCGTCGTCTTATTAATAACTATTTGGGAACTAAAGTTGCAATTAGCAAAGAAGACATGGAGAAAGAAAAAAAAGCGCTAAAAGACGCCAGAGGTAATAAAATGGTCAATTTATATTAAAAAATTAGTATTATTGATATTATATCTAAAAGAAATTATGAGTGCGGTCAGCACAGGGCAAAGTAGTATTACGTAGTTAGTATTGGCAATTTCTTATCGAGAGTGTACGATGTGTTGCATACCAATTTACAAACAGTTCCTTTAGATTTGATTTTTTAAACAATTTTTAACACAAAGAAAGTGATTAAAAAAATTGTTCACAAAAGTGAATTTCGACCACTCGAAGCACTGGTGCTCACAGTGACTGATAGGGGGGAAGAGCTTATGATTTATAGAATAAATTTAATTTTAGAGAAGAAACGTATTCAACGTCAAAATGAAAAAGATGCTTGGGAAGGGCACCCAAAAACGAATATTTGATACTACACAACCAAAAAATCAACTACGAGAAGAATAATGTGGGCCACCTCCAAAAACGTGTTATTAATTCGAAGATGTCATCTTCCAAGCATGAGGACTATTTGTCCTTTACTGTCCCAATTTAATTCCAGGTATCATAAAATAATTTACAATATTTTCCAATTCGAAATTATTTATCACTTTAATTTAATAACTTAATAATCGATACAGCAGATTTCAAAATTATCTAACGTTTTAAATGATAAATACACTCTAGACTTCAAAATTAAAAAATATGTAGGTATATAGATATACAGAAACATCCGTTCTCCCATCTTTTGTATGTGATTTTAAAAACAGAAAACTGCCAAATCATGTTGTGTCTTGGTTACAATTTACTTAACTGTAAATGATTTTTGTAATTTGATAGATTTTTAAATTAGAAAAACTTTACTTGCGGTTTTGTTTAAGTAGATGTTTGCTATTTTGTGTATGTAAAATTAGTGTAATACACGTGTAAAGATGCATATAATACATATATGTTGTACAATAGTAAATAGTATATACGACACGAGAGAAATGAAATGAAATTCATAATATATTTTATCAAATTGATATTAATTGTTTTATCAATTAAAATTAGTTTTTCTTAAATTAATATTCTTTTTATACACCAATAAACTTTATTTTAAACAATAATAGCAACAGAAGTTGTTTAAGATACTTTTAAAGACACAATTACTCTACTCATTAGTAATTTCATTCTTTACATGGATATGGGCAGTTTTCCTTGCGATTAGTCGGTTTTTTTGTAGGCACTTAGAACACAGTTTCTGGGAGATAATAGCGGATCAAAAAGAGGCACGAGTGTAGCATAGGCATCTAAAAAAATAATTATCAGTAATATTACTCACTGCAGACTACAATTTTGAATAGGTACCATGTTCTAGAATATATAGTAATCGATCAAGGAGAATTAGTGACTCTATTAACGGCGCCAATAACAAACGCAAAGAATAAAACATAACGACGTTTTTCCACTGAGACAGATCTTTCTCAGTTTCTTCTTTACTATTTTCTGAAAAGTTTAATGTCATATTTAACTTTGATAATGCTTTACTGCAATATCTGGAAAAAAGAAAATAAGTGAAGTGTTGTGTGCATAAAAATAAGTATCATACATACTCTTCAAACGTTAGGTCTTCAGTGTACTTCACATTACCCAGTGGCGAATGCTTTAAGTAAGGCCATTTTTTTGTTATTAATTTCTCTATAGTTGCTCTGTAAGCGTGAATTTTTAGTTTCCAATAATGTCCTTCCTTAAGTCGTTTTGTATACATTTCTATTGCGTGACAGGCTATTTCTCGAGAATAATATGATAATGTGTATTTTTTTTTTAAACAATAATTACTTAACGGAAATCCGATTTTACATTCAGGTAAATTATTACTACAAAAAGAATAGTACTCTGTAGGATAGTTTCACACTTTTAATTTTTAAAATTATTGAAAAGTAAACATACTCCGTTGTTGACAGTTTCATATAGCAGCAGCTTACGATATTAATAAAACGCACATGAGGGCAATCATTGAACATTTTTAGTAAAGTTGTGCCCAAATCGCCACATGGATGCAATCCGACAATTCCAAATTGTAATTTATTTTTGGAATCAGAACTGAATATTTCTTTTGAGCCTATAATCTTAAATACAGCAGTTTTAGAAATAAATGAAATTTAAGCAAGTATGTACCTTTAAAATTTTAGATATATCTGAAACTTCTTCAATTTTCATATTTATATGAAAAGGCTTTCTATTTTCAATACATATTAAATTATTCTTGAGATTTTTTTCAAATTCTTCATCCAATTTCCTAAAATGATTGGTATTTATAACAATATTAATACCTAATAAATAACAACAGACAACCTTGCCTGGTTAATTAGCTGAGATTGTGCATCAACAGAACATACTCGGAGACCATATCCAAATGATAACAGACGGCTTAAATGCCCCAAACCTGATCCAATATCAATCACATTAAAACAACTAGTATTTATAGCCACCTGATAACAACACTGAAAGCAAATTAAATTAAAATGTTAGCTGTTGGTGTGCTAAAGAAGTTACTTCAGCCATTTTTTTGATTTCATGTTTTTTCTTTTGTTTGACATGTTTCCAAAATGACTTTCCTATTTCAATATTCTTCAGAAATTCATTTAAATAAAAGTTACTTGCACTATTTATTTGTATAGTCTTTGGCTTTCTATTTATATGATACTTTCTAACTATAGCACGTAAAGTCAACAATGATAAAGGTATTACTATATTGCTGAAAATACCATTAATACTTAATTTTAAATTTAAATTCATTCAATGTTTCGTACCAATGTAAATCTTCATTTAGGTTTAACATATTACTCATGTCTTCTGGCTCAATTTTTTCTAAATATTCCTTCCAACTTCTTGGTAACTTTATCCAATGATTTTCAGTAAAAAAGTCCTTTAACAAAACAAGAATTATGTATGTTTTGCAAAACATATTTAAACATGCTACCAGAACATAAGCATTAAGCAACCAATCAAAATGCTGGTAAATTTTATGACTTCTGGAAATTGTGTTACACACATCGTTTATATCCCACTTATTCATATTTCTTGGTAATCCTTGCATGTTGCATATTCAAATTAAATGGTTTATAACCTAAAACACAATACTTGTTCATTGTTGACGTTCAGAGATCACAATTAATCGCCTGTTTTACTTCTTTAATCTAGTATTCTTGCACCTTATAAATATATACTTCTGTTTAAGTTAGTTCGTTTGGGAAAATATAGAAATTTTATATCACAAAGTAGAGCCTGAGATGTAATAATCACTCCACGATTTTCAAAACCACAAATAGAAACTAATTAACCATCTAGTTAACTTTTAGATAATTCACAATTATTGAAAATATTTTAGTGTCCACATTTCCCATAACTGTTTATAAAAACATTACTTTTATATTTTCAGGTAGTTGTCTTGCAAAGTATGGTTATAGCCCTTTGTATATCTATTATCTACGGTTATAGCTCTAACTGCTTGTACGCTGCCGTAATTGTAGTACGCCGAAATAGGATGCAATTGAAACTGAAGGTATCAGAATAAGCTTAGAAATAGTTTCAGATCTTTCTTATTTATGACTTATCCTGATATAATATCATTTTTTTGCTATTTTTAATTTAACTAATTTTATTGTATTGTTTTTACTTTCACAGTTTTGGGGGTTATTGAGACACCACGAAATCCACCCACACCTAAGGAATGTCGTGTTTGTTTACATGAGCAGTTTAACATAATGGCGTTGTGATGGCGCTACAAGTCTAACAAATGCTGTAAAGGAGGTCGTATTTATTACATCATAGATAATAGTATTACATTTTGCTTAGATGTTGTGTACATTAGAGCTCGTGTGAGATTTTTATTTGTTTGAGAAGTTATTATTGTTGTAATAATGTTTTGTTGTTGTGTTCCAAGTTGTTCAGAGCGATCTGAAAAGGGTACACGACTATTTTTACTACCACAGGGTAAAGAAAATGAAGAAAGACAAAAAAAGTGGATCATTAACATTAAACGTGATGGGCAACTACCTGCATTTACTTATGTCTGTGAGGTCAGAAACAAAATTATTTGTAGATATTGTAGTACATTACTGTTTGCTTTTTAGAAGCATTTCAAATATTACCATTGATTGTAGGAGTTCTCTTCTCCAGAAAGTAGCAGTATCCCAAGAAATTGTAAAAGCGCTTTTTTCCGCAATAAAGACATTACTTGTTAATTTGTGGAAATGAATTATCAACACTACGGTACACTACACAGAATTTAATACAGTCAAGAGTACAAAGAATAAAAACTCGGGATGCCATGTATTATGCGACATTGGTTCCTCATTCACTCCAGATAGTAGAAGTAGCTGAAGTCCTGAGGAGAGCGTGAAGGTGCCTTTTTTACATTTGGAACAGAAACAGTGTGTTATTGCTAAAGGAAAGATTTATGAAACTATGAGACGGATTGGTAAGTAACAGTATCAATTAAAAATAGTAGTTATACATTTGTAACACTTTCAATAGAGAGATTTTAAACAACATTCCAGAAATGTCGGATGCAGAATGTGTGAATGTTAGCTTAATACAAGGGATAAACCATTTAATCTTTTTTAAACTGCAGTATGAACTGACTGTATTTTTATTTTTGACTTTAATTTAATAGTCAGAAGAAATGTGATAAGGATGAAATATCATAACAGTTGTTTATTTGGCTTATTACTAAAGGTACATTGTGTGTTTATTATTTTAGCAGTCACTTTCAAAATATTATTGGTTAAAAGTAGTTAATATTTTTTTCGTTTCTTTCTACAGATTGGTTAACAAATGGGGGAGATTGGAAAGTTAATTTTAACCCTAACGATGACTACATGGGATGTCTGCATGGGTATCCTTTCTGAATTTGGTTTTCATTCCACACATGTAAACGTTGANCTGTTTCGTCTTCGCCTTGTAACATCATACAGTTAATTTTCGACCCATGAGCGAGTGCAACTGGATATTTATTTGAATTCCACTGAAATAAGAAATTCTCTGCTACAGTATTCCTCCTCGAGTTGGTTTACTTTTCACACCTGTAAACTTTGGAATGTTACGTTCTATCATTAATTAAGGTGAGGATACTTGATATAATTAATTTTAGTTGCTCTTTATTGATCTATTTGCCACCGTATCTGTTTCAGATCGACGTTGGAGAAGACAAAGATGTCGCTGTAGTTGAAATAGTTGTTTGGTTTGATTGATCATATGCTATTATTATTCTTCGTATTTGCCCACAGCATAAATTAAATTGATAAAACTTAAAGTTTATATCTTGACACAGACATCAGGTGGCCACGTCGCCATTTTTAATGTTTTGTTGTTTTATTCGTTTTTGACTGGTTTTTTATTACGTGTTTTTGTTTTACTTCATGTTTCATTTGTTTAATACGAGTGTTTAATTCTTTTTTTTTAATCTATTTTCAGCATATATTTTGACTTTTATTTGAGAGTAAGGGAGAAAAGTGAAATGGATTAAATTTTTAAATTTTCGACCCATGAGCGGGTGCAACTGGATATTTATTTGAATTCCACTGAAATAAGAAATTCTCTGCTACAGTATTCCTCCTTGAGTTGGTTTACTTTTCACACCTGTAAACTTTGGAATGTTACGTTCTATAATTAATTAAGGTGAGGATACTTGATATAATTAATTTTAATTGCTCTTTATTAACCTGTTTGCCACCGTATCTGTTTCAGATCGACGTTGGAGAAGACAAAGATGACCCAGTAGTTGAAATAGTTCTTTGGTTTGATTGATTCATATTCTATTATTATTCTTCGTATTTGCCCACAGCATAAATTAAATTGACAAAACTTTTAAAGTTTATATCTTGACACAGACATCAGGTGGCCACGTCGCCATTTTTAATGTTTTGTTGTTTTATTCGTTTTTGACTGGTTTTTTATTACGTGTTTTTGTTTTACTTCATGTTTCATTTGTGTAATACGAGTATTGTAATTCTTTTTTTTTTTTTATCAATTTTCCGCATATATTTTGACTTATTTGAGAGTAATGGAGAAACGTGAAAAGGGTTACATTTTTAAATTTTTTGCGTAACAGATATCTATTAAATAATTTAGTCCTAACTATTTAATTTTGATGCTACCGGAACTACAAATTATCTGGCGTAGTATCCCACCTAGATTTGGTTGATTTGCTCATCACAGTGGTAGACTCTAGAACGCCACTTTCTACAATTAATTAAGGTGAGAATACATAACTTGATCAATATTAATTGGTCTTTATTAAACTGTTATGAAATTTCTGTTAACAATTAGCTATTGTCAAGAGTATGAATTGAGGTTAATCTGCATCAATATCACTTGTCAGTTTTTGTTTTCCACAGAATAAATTAATATTTATCGTTGATGTATATATGGAGTNAAAATAGATAAAAAAAAAAGAATTAAACACTCGTATTAAACAAATGAAACATGAAGTAAAACAAAAACACGTAATAAAAAACCAGTCAAAAACGAATAAAACAACAAAACATTAAAAATGGCGACGTGGCCACCTGATGTCTGTGTCAAGATATAAACTTTATAAAAGTTTTGTCAATTTAATTTATGCTGTGGGCAAATACGAAGAATAATAATAGAATATGAATCAATCAAACCAAAGAACAATTTCAACTATTGGGTCATCTTTGTCTTCTCCAACGTCGATCTGAAACAGATACGGTGGCAAACAGATTAATAAAGAGCAATTAAAATTAATTATATGAAGTATCCTCACCTTCATTAATTATAGAACGTAACACTCCAAAGTTTACAGGTGTGAAAAACAAACCAAGTCAAGGAGAAATACTGCAGCAGAGAATTTCTTATTTCAGTGGAATTCAAATAAATATCCAGTTGCACTCGCTCATGGGTCCAAAATTAACTGCATGATGTTACAAGTCGAAGACAAAACAGCAAATCAAGAATATAATCCAGGAAAGACCACAAAGACATGGGCTGTTTCAGTATAACCATACTGAACATTAATTCTCTCTCATTTATTGTATAACCTGCAGAAATGGACAAAAAACATATTAATTACACTTATAATTAAGAAACAAAAATAAAATCGCACCAAAAAGCAAGTGAAATAGCTGAATTAAAAAATAAACAAACAACTTTACATCAAAACCATAGATCTGCATAGATCACGACATATTTAACGTCAAATAACACGACGTAAATGCAAACATAGACAACAGAAAAAGGTTAAAAAAAATCCATAGATAGATAAACTTCATAGATAGATAAACTCCATATATACATCAATGATAAATATCAATTTACTCTGTGGAAAATAAAAACTACAAAGTCATATTGATGCACAATAACATAAATTTAGTATTCTCACCTTAATTAATTGTAGAAAGTCGCGTTCTAAAGTCTACCAGTGTGATGAGCAAACCAACCAAATCTAGGAGGGATACCACTGCAGATAATTTGTTGTTCCGGTTGCATCCAAATTAATTAATTTCCAATTGCCTCCCATTGTTACGGCAAAAATTAACTGCATAATGTTGCAAGGTGAAGACGTCAAAAGCATCGGTTGTTTTAGTAG